TTCATAAATATTTATTCAGAATAAATATATAGTACATTCCACTTTCATGTATACCCAAGCCCTCCATAATTCATATCAGATCTATAAACCACTTAATGCGATTGGATCTCATGATTTTCTTTTGACATTAAACACCTCTGTTTACCGATTATCACATTTTGGTTGGAATGTGAGAATCAAATTCTCAAAATAATAAGTGAAATGTCTGCAAGCAGCACTTTCCATTTAGATAAGCACAAGTACTGCTGAATTTTTTTCCATGTAAGGCATTTATTGCATTGGTTTTCACCAAGCAAAATGTCTGCAATTGCTTGTAAATGTGAGACAGGCAGCTTTTCGTGCATCAGTCTAAGTTGTTTTTCTTCAAAGAGGATTTGAGTTCATTTTTTACAGTTACAGTCTGCTATTTTTGGTTATTTTTTGGTTAAGTCTTGAAATGGCACGGCTTAGGATTTGGTATTTGGGTCTCCACCCTGAAAGAAGAAATATCTGCAGTGGCTTTGCATGAATTACAGAAATGCAGGTTTCTGTTGCCGCAGTCAAAAAAGCTGAACTTCCAGTGCTGCGATTTACCTCCAACCTTGTTTGTTTTTTTTGTAATATAACAAAGTTTGACATAAATTCAAAGACAACTAGCTATGATAAACACATTTTGTCTATACTTCTAGTGAATGTGTGGTCATTTCCTGTGGGTCCGGGAAGTGGAGGTCAGTGTGTCAGTGGGGTCCACAGACATATTCTAGATCAATTCTGTCTGCCTTCTACAAATGTTTACAACAATATTTCTAATATATGATGTACAGCTCCTATAGATGTTTTTTTATGGAAACTATAATATATATATATATATATACTGTATATATTATAGCATTAAAAAAATCTTACAAAAATTGACACCAGACTTTTGAAAGGTAGTGTATATCAGATATTTTTGGCTGTTAGTTTAATAGTTGGTGGGAAATTGAAAATGACAGACACAATGTTGTCATTGACTTTCACAGACCATCAATGACAGACCCCTCTCAAACTGTGTTTACATCAACCCTCAAGCAAATGAACTGTGAAGGCAAATGAGATGACTCAAGACATTAAAACACTGAATTCATAAACGATAAACTTAAAATTTGATATGCATTCATTTGCATACATTACTAGCAGAAATTTGAAGACTTGATAGAGCCAGGTTCTTGTCATTTTGTTGATATCTTTAAAGTTTTTTACAGCGAGATTTTGTGTATCTCTTTTTATCATTGAATAAATTTAAAAATACTGTCAACAGCCATAAAAAATGACCTTTCACCATGTTTTTAGGAATACAATGTTGTATAAAAACAGCAAGTGATATATAAACAAAACCCTCTGTAAAAACATTCAGAATATAGAAAGTTAAGAGATTTAGTGCATGAGAAAAAAATTCGTTTTGACAAAACGGTCTTTAAAGGTATGTATTGCAGTTTTTATCTAATCTACAGGTACAAATAAATAAGGTGCAATAAAAGAGGCTGTGTTTTGGATGTTTTCTTTCCATTAGTCTGAAACAACACTTTATGAAAATAGCCCAAAATCTCAAAATAGACCAGTGCATAAAAAAACTGAATGGCTGCATCCTTTAGATGCTTGTAGTGTCTTGCCTTAAGTTGAACTCCTCAATGTACTGTCACGGAATCATGGACCCTTTTTCCATGCTAATAGTCATTGCATCCCAGGAACTTCATAGGTTTAGCAAAGGACAGACACCTTCTGTACAACAAGACATGCAGAATGCATGCAAAAAGAGGCAAACGATCTTTCTGGGTAGAGTTTGCCCCTTACGTGGGGTTGCATTTCTTTTTTATGGACACGAACCAGACCTGCTTGACAGAACCACCAACATGGTCAGAGATAAGCGTCTTAGGTCTGTACTTATGGTACAGTGCAGCCCTGTTAGCTGTAGTTTGCTCTATGAGAGCGGCATTAACTGCAGAGGTCACTGTGTACAATGTATAGGGCAGAGAGGACGCTGGCTGAGGACGGGAGAGATACACAAAGCAGCTTGTGTAAGATGAGAGTCGGCCTCTAGATTTACACTGACAGCAGGAATGTGTGGTTTTAATCAGAACAGACCTTCAGTCTCTCTCCTTCAGTGACTGTGCTCGTGTGCGAGGCTTTGATTAGCTGGACTGCTGCCCTGTGCCCAGCCGAGAGGGTCCTGCCAAACCCAACGGGGAGGTACAAGGTGCGGTAAGGACACCGTAAGCCCAGAACAGATGGTTTGCACTGTGTTTCTGCCCCACTGTGGTCCTGCCAACTCTGAGTCTATAATGATGTGTCAGAGACCCACGATGCACTGTTAAATATATTCAATACAATGGGCCATAACAGCTGGGTTGAAAAGTATTACAGTTACAGTTATGAGATGTTGCCCATGGAACCTTTTAAATGTTTTTTTTTTCTTTTTGGCTGACATCTCCAACAAGCTCTTTATGGTTTTAGTTAACTACAATAGTCCTGCTATTGGCAGGTTTCATGCACATGCATCTGTGCTTTAGACAAACACTATACACACCGTCATTATCTGCACTTCTAATTCAGCCTGTCTGCATGCATAAATGAGTGTGGCCTCTAAACCCAAGGTTTAAGGTTAATTGTTATACTAGCTGGTTTAAGTTCACACCTTTCCATGACTACTGCAGTCGGAGACCAAAGCACCACTATAGTGTCTAACAGGCACTGTCTAGATGCTAAAAAGGTCAATTATCTATCAAGGTACTGGGGATGCTAATTAGAATCCATCTATCCATTATGATGAACCCCGTAATATCTATGGGTAAAATATGAAATTTCAAATGTGAATGGTTATAAATCTTGGTCACAAGGAAAAAAAATAAATAAAAATAAAATTGTGAGATCACTTAATTCCTCCTTGTGGCAGAACTATTTTGTGTAATGTAGCTTTTAAATCAATGTCTTAATCAAAAACAATACACAGATGGGATGCAACAGAATGAAAGATTAAGTATATTTATTTCTGAGTGTCCACTAAATCATTGCAAGTGTGCATCTCTTCCCTTGTGTGATGAAAGGATGATGTCATTCCCTGTATCTCAATTAATCTAATTAAAATAGTTCCTGCATCTTCACACTGGCCCTGTGAGCATGTGCCAAACCATAATTATGATCTTCATCTCACGGAATACTCAAGCACATGGTGTGATGATGCACCAAAGCCAGATAATTGGAAGCTTTATGCTAATGAAGACTTGGAAGACAGAAAAATAAAGAGCAGACCAAATCCAGACTGACAAAGCGTGAGAACAAGCGCGTTGTTTACATTATAATTGTATTCTGCATGAAGCAATGAACCTGCTTTACTATACAAAAATAATGTGCACATTGTTTATGCTTGGTGAATATACCATCATTGTTAGATTTCAATTAGTCATTAATCGGTGAAGTGGTTTGGGCTCATGGCTGGTAACCAGAAGGTTGGTGGTTTGATCCCTGCAGGAAGTGTGCCATGAGCCAATCAGAGCTTGAGGAAGGTACTTAACCCCAGGATGCTCCAGGGGGATTGTGAATGTAATAAGTTCATGGCGCTGTTCTGTGGTGACATCATGTGAACATCGTGAAAATAAATTCCATAGTTGTGTGGCGATAAATGAATGATTGTAGTATCTAATTACTTAGCAGTGCAGACAGACTCATTTATTCGGTTTAATGCTGATGATACACGGGGCAACTTTTTGAGCAGTGTTGCCGGGCAACGGGCAACCAGATGAGACACAGGGCCCACGACCGATCTAAAGTATCCAGATAGACATTTGTTACCCATTTTCAATAGGAAAGTGCCCAAGCAGCATTGCTCAAAAAAAGTAGCCCGGCAAAATTGCTCAAAAAGTTGTCCCGTGTATCATCAGCCTAAGACTGCTTAAGGAAAGACAGTGGAAGAACCAAAGGTGTATGTTTGCCCAGAGGAAAGTTGAATTGCTCCAAGCTTGCTTGTTTTTAGCTCAGGAGACTTAATTGAGTTCTCAGTTGTTTCATCAATCAAGATTAATGTATATGAAAAAATTGTTCATATACAGTTTGAGTATAGATCAATAAATAAAACAATGTGGATAGCAGCTTAAATTATTTTGTGTATAACTTTGTCAACTCATTTGTTTCTTTATTAATTTATTTTAAAAGGATAGTTCAACCAAAAATGAAAATGTACTCACGTATCATTCTAAATCTGCGACATTCTTTGTTGTGTGGAAAACAAAAGAAGATATTTTGAAACGTTTCCTTTTCTGTGTGGAGTTCAATAGGGGTCCAGTGTTGTTTGGTTCCAAAATATCTTCTTTTGATTTTTTGCAGAAGAAAGTAAGTCATAAAGGTTTGGAACCACATGAGGGTGTGTAAATGATTTTCTGGTGGATTGTCCCATTAAGATGAAACATCTAAGGCAACATTTGATGAAAAATATGTGTGTTTATATTAAAATTAGAGGCAAAAGACTCTTGACTGCACATTTTGGAGTCTGAGCACAGTCTGAGACATTTTTGAAGTCTCTTCCAGTACACTTTAGCTATATGGTCTGTTTTTCTGAAGAAACATCTGAGAATCTGTCGACTTAAGCAAAATCTCAAATTTCATTTCAAAAGTCTCCTTTTCATCTCATTGCTGTCTATGAGAAGCAACGGAGAAAATGAAGAAATTTGCTTGTGAGATTTCTTTCATGTGAGTGGTTTCGGTGTTGGTAGGGACATTTTAAAATCAATCAACCTGTGGTTGTGCATCTGTGGTTCAGTGAAGAACCAATAACATCCATAGAACCTTTTCATTGCACAAAATGTTCTTTATAGTTGTAAAGAGTTCTTTGTTCTTCACTCTAAATAAATGGTTCTTTTAAGAACTGTTTATTGTAAGATTCTTTAGGGAACCAAAAATGGCATCACTGCAAAAACCCCTTTTGGAACCTTTATTTTTAAGAGTGCATGTGACATAATTCTCTATTTTCCCTGTTTGTCTCTCCATAGGATCCCTCCTTCTCCCTGCTGATCCATGATAAACTGCAGGTGCCCAACAGCACACGCAAGGCGTGGAACGAGCGTGACGGTCGCTGTGACGTGTGTGCCACCCACCTGAGTCAGCTGAAGCAGGAGGCCGTCCACATGGTGCTGAGCCTGGAGCAATGTGATGTATCTCCTGGCTCTCCTCCATCCCTGGCCTCCCTGGTGGGATCCCGCAGCATCCTCCAGGGTCCCACACCACCTCGAGACTGGGCGTTTCTCCCTACAGGTTACCATTCCTCAGCCTCCTCCATCTCTGCTACCGTTTCTGCCACCACCTCCAGTTCTACCCCAACAATCACCAATGCAAGCAACGGCGGCAGCTCCCACCATCCAGCCCACCCCAAACACGAATCCAAACCCAACAGTCTTGGGGTGAGCAATGGTGTGGAGAAGAAGAACAACTCGCCAGGCCATGCAGGAAAGTCCACAGGACCGCAACAGCCTCATCTATCCAGCAGCCCCAACAACACTAATGGAACTGTGTTGAGTTCTGTCGCACTCCAAGCTCACCAGCACCTGGACGGCACCTGGACATCTGGACACCTGTCAAGAGCCAATGGCGTCACACTCTATCCTTTTCAGGTAGGCATATGTCAAGTCTTATGCATCAATCTAGCGATCTATCTATCTGTCTATCGTTCCATCTGTCTGAAGTCTTTCTATCTATAGTTTGTTCATTTGTTTTGTCTATTGTTCTATCTGTCTATCTTTTTGTTAATAGTTTGTTCTGTCTATCATTCTATCAATCTTTCTATCTGTCTGTCTGTCCATCTTTCTGTCTATCATTCTTTTGTTCTGTCTATCTGTCCATCCGTCTGCCTGTTTGTCTGTCCATCTGTCTTTCTGTCTATTGTTTGTTGGATTTGTCCATCAGTCCATCTGTCTGTCTATCTGTTTGTCTTTCTTTTTCTCTGTTGTTCATTTGATCTATCTATCTATCTATCTATCTATCTATCTATCTATCTACCTATCTATCTATCTATCTGTCTGTCTGTCTGTCTGTCTGTCTGTCTATCGTCTATCTATCTGTCTGTCTGTCTGTCTGTCCTTCTGTCTTTTGTTCGTTCTTTTGTACTGTATGTCTATCTTTGTTCATTCTGTCTATCATTCTAACTGTCTATTGTTCATTTGTTTTGCCTGTCGTTCATTCTATCATTCGATTTGTCTTTCTATATATCGTTAATTTGTTCTATCTACAATTCTATCTATCATTCTATCTGTCTGTCTGTCCTTTTGTCTATTGTTCTATCTGTCTGTCTATCTTTCTGCCAATCGTTCATTCGTTCATTCTGTCTATCTTTCTGTCTGTCTATCTGTCTGTCTGTCTGTCAATCGTTATCTTTGTATTGCGTCATTACGTTAATATAAATAACATGCCAGTGCATCCTGGAAAGTGCTTATGTAGAGTGTTCTAAATCAGTCACTTATGAGGCTCAGTTAGGATGCTGCCTAAAGGTAACTGCTTATGTCGGCAACAGACTTCAAGACAGCTCATTAGTTTTTTGGAACAAAACCTTAATTTTTCTATTCATGGTTGGAGAGTTGACGTCCCTCTGGGGAGAAATGCCACCTGATGTAATGAGGTGCTGTTTGCACATTGTGGTTAATGTTGTAATCTGATGATACAGTCCTTTGGGAAAACTTCTGGGCCTAATGTGCATTAGTAATGATTTGGGTGGAAGGAATTACATTTTATATAGACTGCATGGAGTCAGGGGAACTCTTAGAGAGAATCAATTTGATTCATTTGTTTGGATAAAAGCCTAGTTCTTTTGGTCTACTGTGTTTGCGGAGACGGAGGAACCTTGGAAGGCGAGTTCATTTAGTTTCTCCCCTCTCTGTAATGGGATGGTATCTTGATTATATCACTGGAGAACAAACAAATCAATTCTGTCAGGCAGGTGAGTGACATTCAGTCCACTTGAGACCTAATTCCTAGTTATTTCACTCTTAGATCCAAGGTTAGTGCATTTCTACCCGCAAGAGTCAACATATGATATTTGAACAAGGATTTGAATAAGGTCCAAATGAGAGATTTTGTTTTAAGAGGGGTAATTTAGTCTTTGGCGTATGTTGTCAGTCTTCAGTCTTAATTGGAAAAGAACTTGCAGCAAACTGAATTGAGGCACTCAGGAGTCTATTTAGTAAAGCCTAAGTGAATTAAGTCACAGCAGGTTGATTTGATCTCATCAAAGAGATGTCTTCTCTGGAGTCACAGTGGCTTATCAGGGAACGTCAGCTGGTTTAGCGTACAAAGGAATGTTGAATAGCACAGAATCAGTTGCTCTGTGGAGTTTCAAATCTTATCAAATAAATTCAACCATACATATAGTATTGTTACCTTTAACATTTAATGATTTGTCAGGATGACCAATGTTTCTTGAGCTGCGTTCCAATTTACAAGGTCCCTATGTAGTGTACACTAATCCCTATACACTCGGCTCAGTATATCTAGAAGTTCACTTCACTTCACAAAATTTGTTCAATTTGTGGATGATTAATATATTTGTGTAAATATAACAAATATGAAAATACATACATACATACACACACGCATATATATATATATATTCCACAAAAAATAGTCTATAGGAGCTATACATCATATATTAGTCTGCACAGAAATATTGTTGTAACCAGTTGTAGAAGGCAGACAGAAGTAATCCGGAATAAATATATAGATTTGCAAAAACAAATCTAAATAAATAGTGACTATAGAAATTTAGAGCATTTTTAATGTGGTATTTTAGGAGAATAATTCCTTCCAATACCCCAAATCTCATGAAAATCACATACCAATTATATACTATCGTAATCGTGTGTTTATCAGCTTCATGTTCGTGTGTAGAAATGTTTCTCTGGGTGTTACGGAGGGAACAGAGGAAGCGTGCGGATCCATTTGCAAAGCTTTATTCTTAAACATGGTCAAAACAGGCAAGGGTCAGACAATGGCACACAGGTATATCGAGGGCAAGACAAGAGTAATCCAAAGCGGGCGTGGTCGATCGGCGGCTAACAGTATCCAGAGGGCTTGACAAGAGGGGTAATCCGACAACATGAGCAATAGTCCAGGCAAAGTACAAACACAGTCCGAACGGCAAGACGAAAGGGATAATCCAAGACAGGCTA